TGCAAAATAAAAATCATGGATATTCAAGAAGGCAAACATTTATTTTTAAAGTTTTAGGAGACACAGGGCTTTTTACTATATTATTCCACAAATGGGTTTTTGCCTTAAAAATCGTGATATAGAACATATGATTTACTATGTCCCATAACGTGATTTTCAAGTCAAAAACCCTAAATGTTTTAAAATAATGAAAATTAACTTTTGAAGAATAATATTATAGATTAAATCAAAAAAAAAACATTATAATCAATATTACAGATTAATTCAAAAAAAAACATTGTAATCAATATTACAGATTAATTCAAAAAAAGTTATTATAATCAATATTACAGATTAATTCAAGAAAAAAATCATTATAGTCAATATTACAAATTAATCCAAAAGAAAAATTCCATTATAATCAATATTACAGATTAATTTAAAAGAAAAATTCCATTATAATCAATATTACAGATTTTATTTTCATAATTTGCCTCCTCCACCACATCAGTATTACGTATTTAAAAACTAATACAACCATTAATTTGGATATACCGTAAACCCTTTTTTTAAACGAAAATAATTTTAGAAAGATGAGAACTGAATTAGCAGAAAAATTCTATAGATTACGGTTATTAACCTTTCGATCTTTTTATGCGGTTCAGATCTAACTGCATAATGAAATTTAAATATTCATAAGTACTTGTATAAAAATTTTATATTTTAAATAGTAACAACTAATGGTGTTCTCCTTTTTAATTAGATTTTTGATACTTTATAGGAGATACAATTGTTATTGCATGAGAGTTTTGAAGTATTCTAGTATATGATGAGTCACATATAGCATAGATAATTCATGTATTTTAATGATTTTAAGAATTTTATCCACAACTCCATTCTAATGAAAAATAAGTTAAAATAAAAATTAATTTGTTATAAGGTCAATAAGTGTTTTATTTTATAAATTACCCTTAGGAATGCTCAAAGCTTTTTGACCAAGTTATGAATATGGTCTTGGAAATCTTTACTTTTTCTATATAGAACTGCTAGAGAACACCACAAGCTTACGACATATATCCAGGGAAAAGGTTTATTTAAAACATATATACCCAAAGTGGTTCCTAATCAATATAAATGATTGTGAATTATGAATTTGAACTTTATAAGTTTGTGAATAATTTCCTACCATGAGAGTGCGCTCCAAAAACTTGCATGGTTTGAATAATATTGTATATTTCTTTATTAATCTTCAAATTGCAAAGTTTAGAAATTTTTGAAATACAAAGATCAAGAATGTCTTTGATGCATCAGAAAAGCTTGCATTTATCCTTATAACACTTGTCAAGAAGGGCTCAAAAGGTTTTCTAGAGAATTTATCTACAATTACTTCCCATTTCTCTTTCTTCAAATAATCTTGCCACATCACATCAAAATTGACCTTGTGGCCTTGCCTTTCCTGCATTTAATTAAATTTATTAATTAATAATCATATTCTATAAATTAAATTTGATTATTACTTATATACTTTTTTTAATGGTGTTCATACGTGCTTTGGAAGCATCAGAGTAATGTTCAGCCCTAAAATAATTCTTTAAAATTAAGCACTATATTATTATAATTATTTGCGATTTTTTTATTTATGGTAACATACCAAAAAGTTTTAATATTCGGAACCGAATCTAGTAGCGGCTCAAGAAAAATTAACAAAACCTTTATTGTCCATGTATTTTTATTAATAGATGTGTCAAAAGGCTTAATTATCTCATAATTAAGGATTCGGGAACTATTTAAATAAATTGTTAGAATAGAAGTATATAAAAATCACTTTATAAACAACTTACAATCCCCTGATAACACATTTAATATATGGTGTTAGTCCTGTTATTTTCTCGAAAACGCTTGCACTTTCGTTACATATATCATCCGTTCTAGTATTACTTATGGTAATATTTGAATTGCTATCAGTATTGATGGTTTTCGTTGCAGTCTTTGTTAGAGCCTCAAAATTAATACGTTCTATCGGTTGTATGATCTTAATGTCTACTAAAAGATGAATATAATTAACTTGCGAAGATGTTAATGTAAATGAAGAAATCTTCTGTGATGCATTCAGAAAATTAATATCTTCTATAGAGAGGATTGTTTTAATGTCATTATCATTTGTATTAATAATATTTAAAAAAATTTCATGATTATAGTAAGAATCTTTTTCTTGAATTTGAATAATTGCTTCTTGCAAAGAATCTTATATAGTGCGACCAGATGGTAACTTATTATTAGATTTCTGTAAACAAAGTATATTAATAAATATTAGTTAGCGTGTGAACAAAATAGAATATTTAAATATCAGGATTATCTGTTTTTGATTTTTCAATGATTCCCAGTTTGCTGATTTTTGTTCTAACACATCATCTACATTCATAATAAATTTGAGATCAGTTTTAAAAAGGGTTTAAAGTAAGATGAAATATAAACCATGCATGCCTAAGAAATCTTGCGTTTTAGGTGAAATCTTATTTTTATCAGATTTCGTATATTGCTGGCACCAGCCTGACCAAAACTTCTTGATTTCATTTGAGGCTTTGTCTTCCTATTACATATAGCACTCAATAAGTATTGTTTGTATAGATAAGTAGAAAAAAATAAAATAAAGAGAATGCTATACTTGATGTCTTTTTAGGAACTGACAAGCAAGCAATTAGATTAAAAAAAAAATATTAGGCTCGCCGACTTTTCAAAGACTGACGAGTTAAGTGATAAAAAATAAACAGAATTAAAGTAGAATGCTATGCTTGACGACTTTTCAGGGACTGACAAGCAAGCAATCAAATTAAAAGACATAATGCTAGGCTCGCTGACTTTTTAGTGACTGACAAGCTAAGCAATAAAATAATCAAAAGTAAAAAGGTATCTAAATTTTATAAATAATAAAATTATCAGAAAGGTTGTTTAACTATCATAAATGTGAGTCAAAAGCTTAAATAGTCTGAAATTACCAAGTAAGTATTATAAAGATTTTTTCATGTTTTCTCATCAAAAATAAGGTTTATATGTCTTTCATAAGTTTCATATTCATCTTTCCAATTAGTATCTTGTTAAGCTTGCTTGTATTTTTTTCTTTTTAGAAATTTTATCAGCTTCCACTCACAGTGAGGTTTTGCGAAATATAAAACATGATCCATTTCATTCGAATTCGATCCTGGCATTATCTTAGAAGGAGTGCATAAATTGGATGAAAATCGTGAGGTGTGAGAATCTAATGATGACGGGCTGGTTAATGAAGGTATTTGTCTAATTGGAGTAGAAAATGGGTTCTCCCTTCTATTTGTGAATTTATTCGTTTTGCTTTTGTTTGACATTATTGCTAATGCTCTAACGCTAATTCTTAGTGCTTTAATCCCTTTTAATGATAATCTACATATTAGATTACACACAATTATGATACCCATGATTTCACTTTCCTTATTTGAGAACGTAAAATATCAATATGTATTGGTATTGGTATACTGTAAATTATTTTACTTTATTTAGATATCCAGGTTGATTCTTATATAAAATTTTTACATATTCTTAAAGATATTTAGTATCAGGTATAAAATCATATCTATGACCATAAGATTTTAAATTTTTAACACACCAACCCCTACAAATACATATTTATGATGAAAACTAACTTTACGCTTCTAAATAAAAATGATAGCAATAGCGCCTTATTTTGCATATAAATATACTTTTTAACTGAACTGGGCCAGGCCGTAGTCCATTTTTTCCGCATTACGTGATGTAGATCCTTCCCACAAAATTTGATTATTTTTAAACTTTGAGCGATGATTTATCGACAATCACCTGATAAATTCAGAAAATTTTTTATTTGAATTTTACAAGTACGTACAATTCAAATAAAAAAATTTTTCATTGAAATTTATCAGTCAGTTATTTAGAAAACATAGTCCAAAGTTTTAAAAAAATATAGGCAGAACTTGTTTATTGATAGATGGGATGAATTTTTCAGAATCTTTGAGCGAAGCTCTCTCGACAACCTTCGGTAGACTTTTTTTATTCAAATTCTATAATTTTGTAGAATTCAAATAAAAAAATTTCGTCGAAATTTATCAGATGGTTGTTGAGAAAACTTGGTTCAAAAATTTAAAAAATTTAGGTGGAACTTAGTTTATTGATAGATGAGATGAATTTTTCTGGAACTTAGAACGAAGCTTTCTCAACAACTACTAGATAAATTTCGATAAAAATTTTTTTATTCACAAATTTTTAGAATTCAAATAAAAAAATTTTTATCGAAATTTATCAGATGGTTGTTGAGAAAACTTAGTTCAAAGTTTTAAAAATTTAGGCGGAACTTTGTTTATTGATAGACGAGATAAAATTTTTCGAACCTTTGAGCGAAGCTTTCTCGATAACTACAAGATAAATTTTGATAAAAATTTTTTGGGGTTTTATTTTTTGATGCATCTGTACTGTGGTGCACCCTCTATGTTTTAAAGGATTTTACTAGGGTAACCCCTGTTGAGTGACTAATAAAAATAGTTTCCGTAAAATTTTAACACTAATTCTAGTCTAACCATAGCTTTAATCCTAACCCTAACCCTAATTTCATTTTACTATAGGGTGCACCAAATTATAAATCTCAATTTTTTTATTCGAATTTTACAAATCTGTAGAATTCAAATAAAAAATTTTTTATTGAGATTAGTCAGGTGGTTATTGAGAAAACATAATTCAAAATTTTAAGAAATTTAGGCAGAACTTGTTTATTTTCAGACTGGATGAATTTTCCCGAAATTTTGAGCAAAGTTTTCTCAACAACCACTTGATAAATTTCAGTAGAAATTTTTTATCTGAATCCCACAAATCTATAGAATCCAGCTAAAAAAAATTATTGAAATTGATCAAGTGATTGATGAGAAAGCAATGTTCAAAGTTTCCAAATTTTATGAGAAGGATCTACATCATGTGAGGCAGAAAAAATGGATTACACCTTGGCCCAGTTTTCTAACTGCTTCCGATATCTATTCCTGATACTGAGCGTGACCTGCTCCCAATAATTATTTCTATGACCTGTTTCCAATATTGATCGTGACCTCTATAAATTTGAACAAGCAATCTCACTTATCGATCGATAGACATGTCCACCCCTGTAAAGGGCAACTGTATATCAATAGTAAACCAGATGATCATTGTAGCTAATTTAACTATAGAATAAAAGGTAATAAAATTTTTCTTGATACCAAAAAATTGCAATTAGTATAAAAAATTGTAAATTATTTTTAAATAACCTTAATTTTTAAAAGATGTAAATTGTTATATTCAAAATAAAATAATGTTTAGAACCTTGGGTTTTAATCCAACTTCATTCAAATCTTGAAACACCTACCCCTGCAAAAAGGTAAAAGCCAAAATCAGATGATCATGATTACGTACATATGGTATGTACATAATTACTAATGCTAATGCTAATGTTAATACCGATACTGGTATTGATTTATTCTTGTTTAGTACGTATATACTTTCAATGCATGTGCTTAAATTTATTATGCGTTAACATTAAAAGGTTCAAAATTTTACGCAACAAATTTTTTAATAGCATTCACAAAGATTTTTATAAAGCATAACGATAAATATTCTTAACGATATTAATATTTTTAAGTTCAAAGTTACTAAGCCAAACTTTTAACTTGTAACAGCCAGAGTGTAGTTTTAAACTAATGCTAAACATTTTTAAGCAAACATATTTGCATATATAATGAACCCGTTTATTGTAGAAAATAAAAAATTTTCAAGATTTTTAGATGAAGAAAGTGAAATATATAAGGATCCAGATTACGAGTATGCTCTTTTAGATGATAGTAATTCAGATATGCAATCTGAACTTTCTTGTAATTCAGCTAGTACGATTACATCAAGAAATTTAGTTGAAGGCGAAAGCTCTACTTTTATAAAAGGCGAAAACTTTACTTTTACAGAAGCCGTATCGAATTTTATTAAGGCATATTCAAATTCAAATTTAGTTGAGAATGACAACCTTGAAAATAATATTGATTGGCTTGACTCTGAACTAGATATTATATCTGAAGCTGGATCTAATGAAAGTCATATAGCAGATTTTGATAATGAAGAATTAGACGTAGAAATTAGTAATCATAAAACAAATGAAGTTTCAGAACAATATATTGTGTTGGACTTTATAGATAGAAAAATTCAACAGTATCCAAATTCAAGATACCGATCATTAAAACAATTGACGGGTATTTGGGAGTTAGATTTTCCTACTATTGATTCTATGATAAAACAAAGCCAACCAAAAATACTAGAACTCAGAGCCAAGTCATCCAATAAAAAAACTAAGATCATCAATCATATGAAATTAAATGATTGGTTATCTTCTTCACGTGATAATTGACCAGTTACATTTATTATAATCGATAGCAGTTTTATTTTACTAGATTGAAGATCATTCTACGTAGAATTTACCAGCATCGTTATTTTTAAACAAATAGACAAGAAAATCAATAATAGAATATAAATAACAAATAAATAAAAAAATTGTAAGAAGGCAAAAGATAGCGAAGAAATAACAAATAAATAAAAAAATTGTAAGAAGGCAAAAGATAGCCAAAAAATAACAAATAAATAAAAAAATTGTAAGAAGGCAAAAGATAGTAAAGAAATAACAAATAAATAAAAAAATTGTAAGAAGGCAAAAGATAGCGAAGAAATCTATTTTGAAATTTAATCCTCAGAACATATTTTTTCTTGAAGTTTAAATAAATTTGATTTCTGCACATCCATCTATATGTATAAAGAATCCTATTCGATTCGATTAAAAAAATTTTTCTATATTTTCTCAAGACCTAATCTTTTTGCAAATGTGCATTATCGTGCAGCATTTTGAGGCTTAGCACACGTATTAGAATGCGCCAGTTCTATTATCTTACCCAATGCTTTTACTTTTATTTTGATGATTGTTTTCTATCAGTATTTTAACTAATCGTTTTGGCGGGTTTTTGAAAACTCTAGTTTAATCACCAGAAAATAATAATCATGAAGTGAATAAAAAATAAAAAAATCTTTCAAACTAATAATTTAGTTATGCTAAATAAATAATTAATTAAATGACACAAAATGATTTAACTATTTTTAGAAATTCTTATTTCAATACTAATACCCACATTCACGGTTATGGTCATTAATACGACACTTATACTTGTGACTCCATTGATTTAAAAACTAATTGTTTAAACAATGTCGTTTGGGTTTATAATTGCAATCCTTTTAGAGTATCTTTATATTGTCTTTATCGACTCTGCTTATTTTGTATTTTTTGCCAATAAAAAACAAATAAAAATAAAGCAGAGTATAGAAAACCCATAATAAGCCTACAATAAAAATATGTAATGCTAATTCTGGATTCGAATAGATTGAAATAATTGCAAGAATAATAACATAACTTAGAAAGTTGTAATTTCTAAGTTTTTTTTTCTTATCTTTCATAACCTTTTATAGTGTTGA